CCAATTTAACTCATTTGACGTTACATGAAAATCCTTGGGAATGCGACTGTGATGCTAGACATTTTTATAAATTTCTTCATTCAGAATCTGGAATAATCAAAAATGCCCGAAGTTTATAAAGTAATATGTCATAGAAAGAATACATCCATATCAGAAATGACCTGGGACGATTTTTTGTCCGTCTCGCATAACAATGATTATCAGCATCAGTGCAGCAATTGCTCTTCTTGGATTAATTTGTGGTATTTTTGGTCTGTATTATAAATACCAAGAACACATTAAAATATGGCTTTTTGCGCATCAGTGGTGTTTATGGTGTGTTACGGAAGAAGAGTTGGATAAGGATAAAATGTACGATGCATTTGTGAGCTTCTCGCACAAGGATATCGATTTTATAGCAGACGAGCTGATACCGAATCTCGAGAGTGACCCAACACCATTCAAATTGTGTGTTCATTATCGAGATTGGTTAGCGGGCGAATGGATACCGGATAATATTGCTAGATCCGTGGATAATTCTAGACGGACAATAGTGGTGTTGTCGCCAAATTTCTTGAAGAGCATCTGGGGAAGAATGGAATTTCGGGCTGCCCATCGTCAAGCGTTAAGCGAAGGTCGAGCGCGAGTGATACTGATCTTGTATGGTGACATCGGACCGACAGATAATTTGGATTCTGAACTGAGAGCGTACATATCTATGAACACGTACGTTCAATGGGGAGATCCTTGGTTTTGGGACAAATTAAGATACGCACTGCCGCATCAATCCAGTCGACCGAGAAGCAACTATGTCTAAAGAGAAGTTCTTGAATCTGAAGTCTAAAATCATGAACTGTGAACAAACAAAGATAATCAGGAACTTATTCATTGTATTTCCTAAAGCACTTGCAATCACTCTATCGTGAACTAACTTTTATCAATAAGATAACTATAATCATAAGTCATGAAATTGATACAACTGCAAGCAGAAAATTAGTTTCTATAATACAAAGAAAGAGACGATTTGACAGCGAGTTAAAATGATAAGTAACATAGGATTATCACAAATGATAAAATGTTTTAACTCTATTCTTTATCATATGTAGTTTGTAAGATAGTTTATTCAATATTGTTACACTATGCAAAAATATAGCAAAATATATATACATACATAAATATATCACTAACAATTTAGAAACATTGACAATATATTATCCACTGACAAATGTTGTTTATCTTCTTTAAGCAATAAAAAAATATAAATAATATAAAAAATTAATTGATATATATATTAAAAAATATTATTAATTTAAATCAGTTTTAATTTTTATCTGTCTCAAGTAAAATAAATTATTTATGTTTTGTGCTTTTTATTTCTTACGTATCACGCATACAATTAAACACATTTTTTGTATATTGTATAATTATACAAAGCTAGGAAGTATAAATAATAGAAAAACAATAAAAGAGCGGAAACAGTCAAAAAAGAAAAATAAAAGATCGCGATTACTTAGTCAGTCTACGTAGGACCAGCTAAAGAATAACAACTCTCCAACTTGGAGACAAAAATGTTCAAGCTTCCATCAGCCGTCTAACGAATGGTTGATTGTAGCTGACAATTTTCTGAAATATATTGCATGCGAGTGTGAAATGTAATTATAGTTCTGTAAATTAGATGAACATAATTCTTTTATGTCGTTTTGTTAACCCATTGCTTATATGGATCTTCTAAGGAATATAGTTTACAATTGAAATACATCCGATCTATCAGAAATGTCGAGAAACATGCCAAGCTGTGCTTATGTGTGATATCCGTAGATAGAAATAATATTATTCAGCATCATTTGTCATCATTAATTTTTATTAGAGAAAGCAATCTAAACAGGCAGCTCGCAATCATTTGCAACGTACATAATATAACACAAGGTGAGTAAATAGTATGAATTTTATTTTTTTAAACTCATTTATGCGTCACCTTCTGTTAATGATCAGTCACGTATGTAGTGTAGAATTTATTTGTATGTTCGCGTTGTAGTAAACGCGTTTACAAAATGTATAAGTCCTACAATCGTTAAGAAATAAAATAAATATCGCCGGTTAACATAATATTTTTTTATTTATTGATGTAATTTATTTTCAAGGATAATTGATTTCCGTTTTTCTGAACATTTCTTTCTACTTGCTATAATATTTAAAGAGTGTAAAGAAGAAGATTAAAATTATTATTTGCAAGTGTGACGTATATTTATATGTCACTTACGTAAACGATAAACAGTGTTTAATAATTTTACTATTTTATTTCTCACACTATTTATAATATATAAACAGCTAAATTAAACTTAGCTAATTCATAAACAAACAACTGCACTTATCTGTGCAATAATTGTCAGAAACATATTATTTATTATAATTTTTATTCATATTATACACATTATAAAACAAAATGCTAGCAAAAAGAAATGTGTATTTAAGACAGTTCCTACAATTTCTCAATTATTCAAGATTTATTTGAAACTTTAAAAAATAAATATATCCAATGTCAGGCAACATTTCAAAGTTTAAAAAGTTTTTCTTTGTAGTTATTAAATTAATCTTCATTTAATAATACATTTACTCGATAGTTTTTATAAGTAATAAAACGAAAATGAGTACCCGTCATAAGACATGCATCGTAATTCTATTCGTCGCTATGACAAGCATTTTTGCTCTCCAATGTCCAACAAACAAGGTGTGTCAATGTACATATAGGAACTTGGTGCCAACTTATATAAGTTGTAGAATAGATAATAATAATCCTAGTTTTTGAAATATTCTATTAACAACGACGATGATTACATATTGGTACGTATTTATCACATCATGAATGTTTTACATTAATGTTATGCACATTACTCACCCGCAAAAAAAGTGACACAAATCAAAAATATCAAATTATTAGAGAGGAAAGTAGAAATTGCTTTAATAATAACGTTTTCCATTAATAATATCATAGATTAGTTTGTTTTAAATTTTGTCACTAATTATAAATTGTCTAAGGCAAAGTTGATTTTATAAAAAATAATTCGACTTGTCCATACTTGGTTAAACAATAATTTTAAAATTAATTATTTACGGCAGTATTAAACATATCGGACTCATGCGGAAAGTATTTAAATTCAACTTTTATCACTTTTCTTGATTAAAGACCGATTTCGAACGCAATCCGCACACAAAACAAAATTCGAAAAATTTTGACTGGTGTCACTTTTTTTGCGGGTGTGCGATATATAATTTTCTAACTTTGTGTACTCACAATCAATATCACTACAAGAATTTAAATCAAAAACTATAAAATTAAAAAACGACTAATATAGATACAAAGAGATTTTTTGCTAAATTATACAATTCAAAAATATTATAAGACATCGAATATTAAAGAAATATTAAACTTTTCATGATTACGATATTCACGTTTTTTATAGTTCATAATATCTTTCGTACAGCAAAGTATTTTCTAAGAAAATTTTCTATTCCATCTTTTTTTAAAAAGTTTTTCAATGTCTTACTTATAACTATTTACTTAAAATTGCACTTCAAAAAATAATATAGTCTTAAATTCATGAAAAGTTTCACAAACAAACATTTTTTTTCTTTCTTTCAACTTTTAAATAATAAAATCAAATTAACATAAAAAATGTTTTTTTGCATAGATCACCTGTATCAACTCAGCGGACTTGTCAAATTTTAATCTCGACGTATCAAATATTACGTTGCATAATACTTCTCGGATTTCTGACTACTGGATTGTGTTCAATAAATGTAATTTACCTAGAGAGAAAAACATCAAATTAATTGACATTGCGCGAATGCTAAGAGCTACAGACATTAAGAAATTACATCTTGAATCTACGAAAACAGGAACTTGACCTTGAAAAAGCATCATCTAAACGGTTTTGAACATTTACTAATTCTGTTAATATACAACTACCACATTCATGTGGACAATGATCTGTCAACTGATTTGAAAGGATTGGAAACTCTTGATCTGTGGACAACTACATCGGACATTTGGCCGCTGAATATTTTGATTTTACCCCCAAATTAAGTCGACTCACTTTGAGGAATAACTATTTGAGACGGATAGAACCAACCGCATTTGATAAACTGACAAATTTAGAAATCCTGAATCTAGATAATAATTCATTAACCGAGCTTCCATCGGGTATTTTCGACAAACTTGTCGCTCTGCAATACCTCCGTGTTTTAATGAATAACTTATCCAGTTTACCAGAAAATATATTTGCAAAGCTCGAAAACCTTAACTATCTTTGAGTAAAAGAAAACAATTTTAGACAACTGCCAAGAGATCTTCTACGAAACAATACAAAATTAATAGCAGTTTATTTATACGACAACCAGAAATTTGACTTTATTGGATGGATTCTTTAGCAATTTAACAAACCTGGAACAATGATGCTGAACATTGATGCTGTGGAATAATGAACTAGTCACATTATCGGAATATCTCTTTTGAAAATCATCTTCGCTGAAAATGATTGCATTAAGTTACAATTACCTTCAATTTTTGCCTGTAAAAGTATTCCGAAATTTGCAAAAGTTAGAAATATTGGATTTGAATTCCAATAATTTAAATGCTTTACCAGATGATATTTTCAAAAATACCAAACAATTAAAAACATTGAATTTATCAAATAATCGCATTACTACCATTTCCGAGTATGTTTAAATTGCTTTTATTACATAATTGATAATAATTGCTTATAGGTTTTATAACTTTATTGATACAAAAATCTTTTTTTTCAGTAAACTATTTCGTGATTTATACTCGTTGGAACAACTAAATTTGGAACAAAATCATCTAAGAACTATTCCTGATCATAGTTTTTCTTTTTCACATAGCTTGAAGATTATTAACTTGTCTTACAATTATCTTACATTATCTAAATGGTCCGATGCATTCAACATAACGTTTTACAAAAGCTTAGAAAAATTATATTTAGTTAACAATAGCATTTCCGAAATATTGAGGAATTGTATAACAAATCACTATGAACTACAGATATTGGATCTCAGCTATAACAACATATCTACTATAAAAGTAAGTATTTAAAACAGCACCTTGGAAAGTGATATATACAGAGTGTTATAAAGTTAAACGATTAAACATCACCAGTTTGATACGAATAAATCACCAATAAATCAAAATAAGAAAAAAATGTTGTATAAATATAGGTTCTAGAAACGTTTCGTTATCACGTTATATTGAAAAAATAAAAGTTCCTCTTCTATATTAGGATCCTGAACTGAGAGCGTACATATCTATGAACACGTACGTTCAATGGAAAGATCTTTAATTTTGGATAAATTAAGATACGCGCTGCCTCATCAACCCAGGCGACCGAAAAGAAACTATGCCCGAAGAGAATTTCTCGAATCTGAACTGTAGAATCATGAACTGTAAACAAACAAAGATAACAAAAAACTCATTTATTGTATTTCCTAAGTCACTTACGATCACTCTATCGTGAACTGATTTATACCAACAGATATAGCTATAATCATGAGTAATGAAATTGATACAACTGCAAGTAAAAAATTCTTTTCTACAATACAAAGAAAAAGAAGATTTGACAGCGAGTAAAAATGATAAATGTCATAGAATTATCACTAACTTATAACCAGAAAATGTATTAACACCATATTTTATTATATGTACTTTATAAGATAGTTTATTCGTCGATTTTTTACAATATTAAAAATAAAGTGCTATTCCATAATTATACAATGTAAAACAAAATGATACTATTTCGCTATGTATGCAGATGTTCGTCGCCATTTGGCGTTGTGTGAGATCCGAAGTATTAAACAAAAGTCAAGCATCCTCGATGCTGTCAACCTATCATAAGAAGTAACATTTATTCTATGTATGTAATAGTTCCTAAGAAATATAACGTATTTGCATAAATATTGAAGACAAAAGGAAATGTACAAGCTCTACAATAATGGTAAAACATCCTGTATAAATTATTAAGACAAGCAATTCATTTTGAATTAATCGCATCTTAAAAAAATATTTTTTATAAGCATTAAAAATAATTTTCACATAATATTTACTGTTTACTGTATTACTATGTATCCTTTCATATATTCATAGACGAATTATCAGGCACGCGACATCATTGATTTTTCATTTAACACTTCTTTTCTATCTTTTCTGTTACTTTCTTCATTGAAAATTCCCGAGATTATTATATGTTACTGTTACATGAAATTTTTATATATTTTTATAAAATATTTAAAGAAAATAAATAAGACAAAAAAATAATAAAAAAAACTGAAAAAAAAGAAATAACAAGAAGAAAACAAGAGTAAAGTGCGCTTGCAGTTACTTCCCAGCGAGAAATGACTTATTAATCGACATCAAATCGATGTCTAATTGACGTCGAAATCATCGATATTACATCGTATTGATGTCGATTCGACATCAATTCCATGAGTCATTTCTCGCTGGGTTGAATCGCCATGCAGTTTATTAGTGTCGTCATGCCAATAATAATATAATAGTTCCTCCAATCAAAGATGAAAAGGCTTACAGCATAACATAGCGGATGAGGTACGGTTAACGGTTGGCAGTCTTTGAAAACGTTTGCAAGTATAATACGCAACTACAGTTTCACAAATCAAATAAACACAGTGAAATGCCTATCTATATGTTTATTCCAAATTTTTTTAAACGACACAAAACTAAGGAAACGGATCAAATATTTTGATATGTTAATACTGTGCATATGCTGTGATACGAGTGGCTAAATTGATATCATTATTTTTAATAATCGCCATTACCTTCCGAAAGTAGACAAAATTGAGATAAAAACGAGCAAACGGAAAATAATCACAACATACATCTATCATACAACTGGTAAGTAAACGGCGTGGAAGTTATTTTCATGAATTGTGACAGATACCATTTCTAGTTGAGACAATTAATCTCTTACGCATTGTATAATACCTGCGTTTGCGTTATTTAGCAACTGCGTTTAAAAAAAAACACATGAGTTCTACAATTATTCAGTAACAATTATTTATAGCTGATATTTATTTTTCAATGTATTGATCAAACCGATTTTAATCTGGGAAACTAATCACTCAATTCTTATTTTTCTCAACACAGTTTTTTCTCTCACCATGATATTTAAAAGTATAAAAAAGAGAATAAAAATTGTTATTTGCATGTCGTGATATTTTATCACGTATTTCTATATGTGGTAAACAGTGTGTAATGATTTTCTTACTTTGCTTATACATAGTATAGTTTATAATTTTATAAATATATTTATAAATTTTATAAATTTATCTATGCGTCATCTTCAGCAAGTGCAGTATTTTATTTGCTCTTATACATTATTTGCTCTTATTGGATTAATTGATAGTATTTTTGGTCTATATTACAAATACCAAGAACACATTAAAATATGGCTCTTTGCGCATCAGTGGTGTTTATGGTTTGTTACGGAAGAAAAGTTGAATAAAGACAAATTGTACGATGCATTTGTGAGCTTCTCGCACAAGGATCACGATTTTATAGCAGATGTTCTGATACCGAGCCTCGAGAGTGGCCCAACACCATTCAGATTGTGTATTCATTATCGAGATTGGTTAGCGGGCGGATCGATACATTATTACAGCGCTCGGAATTAGTTGCACATTTCGGGCCGATTTCCGATACAACGCCTCCTGTTCCACCACTACCGCTCGGCCGCTGGCGGCCGAGCCGCCGATAGCTCTGGCTCAGGAGCGTTTTATATTAGAAATAGGCTGGATTGTTTAGGCATCTTTCGGGAAATCGTAACATTTTCTTCACTACATAAATAATGTTTATTTTTATTAATACATAATATATATATATTTAATTATTAATGAAAATAAACATTATTTATGTAGCAAAAAAAATATTACTATTTTCTGAGAGGTGCCTCAACAACCCAGCCTATTTCTTATATAAAACGCTCCTGCGC